TATTGTAACACAAGGTAATATGATTAACATTAGTGGTGAGTATGAATAGAGAGCATTATTAGATAACATTTGTAGGTAAAATTAGTACCGACTAGTTAGAGTTGAGGGCATATGTAGTTATGAATAGTTTATCATCAATAATGTATTGGAACATTCTAAAAGCTTTCTAACCCAATGCAAACCCAGTATAAGTAATTTTAAATAATGATCATGCTGCATATATTCGAACATTCGAGAAGCTTCCTAACATAATGCTAAAATCTCACAATGGTTTTGGACAGCTCTGCTCCGTGACATCCACATGTCGCCAAGAAGCACTACACTGTGCTGCTGCGCATGCGGAGTGAGTTCTCGCACACATACAAGCCTCGGGGTGTCGGCTTATTGTGTTGTTTAGTTCTTGTGCGCTTCAACTTTGAAGCACTTCACTACGGCACTTTTAGTTACATTTTCTCAGTCAAGAATTAACCAAACATTTGCATGTATGTATTTGTATGTAAAGACGTCGAAAGTCGATTCGCTCGATACTTTTGACGTTTCTTCTTATTTACTGAGCGTGCTGTGCTGGGGTTCAATTTATAGCCTACCGTAAATTAAGCGACTTCCTGAGTCAAACGTTTAGGACAGTACGGACATGAACGAAGAAATTTTCATTGGTTTCTGAAAATTACAGCTGAGCAAAGCAATCTAATTTTCATCAGCAGCCCTGTATTTTCTGTTGATTAATTATTAATCTTTAGAGAGAGAAGAGAAGTTGACTTCCAAAATACGCTTGCAAGCTTTATACGAAAGACAACTTGAAAAATTTTGTATAATAATTTTCTAATCATGGCATTTTGAGAGACGTTTCGTGCAGTGTGAAATATTTACCAGAATTGCAATAAACGAAATATTGTTACTCTAAGTTAAACGATGGATACATGTCCTACGATTCACACATTTCCCAATTTCGTGATCTTCCTTGTGCTGTCATCATCCTAATGTTCACCTCAACCTCATTCCACTGGATTCCATTTCAATTATCCAAAGTCGATCTATCCGCATTCATTATTATACAGATGCGTAATTAAATGTGGCAGTGAGCGCAAACTTCCTAAAAATCTAACCGAGTTTCCCATTCGATCAGCATGTAATAACAGTTTTCCTGCCGTTGTGTTTGTTACAAAACGTATCGTTGGTTTGTGGCAAGCCGAGGTGTGTCGACGCTTATATACGAAGAGCCAGGCTTCACAGTCGGTTGCCTTGTTTTCTCAAGAGCAGAAGATAAACATGGACTTGAACTCCCGACTTTCTCTGACTTTGGGGTCCTTTGTTTGAGTTCTTTCCACGAATGGAGATTTTTAAATGCAGACATTTTTGTTTTTATTATTTTACTGCCATTGTCTTTATTTCGGACCCATTTATATCGCTCACACACAATATGATAACACATAGTGGTATTCTGAGATTCATTGCCTAGCGATGCACTACTTCATTTCGAGATTTAAGCTTCGAACTTTTTAAGTAGTAACGACTAAATTCTGAAAGTACTAGACCGTTTTAGATACCGTATATTTCCAATTATGCATAGTGTAAAAAATATTTGGTAATATATGTATCTGAAAGTGTAGGATTTTCACTTGAAATATTATGTTGAAAACCGTCTGGGTAACTGACGACTTCGATAAATTGTACGATAAGTATTTTTCGAAAGTTCATTTCAATAATAGTCTTAACAATGGCATCCGGTTAACGAATATGGCATATTAGTTCGTTAACTTGGCTTTTAATATCTTAATTTATTCTTGAAAGTTTCGCGCGCTCACCGGTTCTTCCTGGACGTCAGTCGGTGCGACGAGCTGGGCCGGCGCATGGCCTGATCGAGCTCGCAATTGTGCTGAGTCATCGTCTTGCCGGAGGCCGCTTCAAATCTGGAAAGGAGAAAAGATTTGCTGCCACCCAAGCAATGACGCGTCACTTCGAGTTGCTTCGTACTTGTGTTTGTGTGGCGCCCAATGAGGCTTCTAGTCGCCAGCATCGTCGCATTTCGGACCAAATTTGGCGATTCGTTTCTATATTTCTTCATATTTATAGAATGGCTTACCCGTTAAAACTAACTCTTTTTAGCGCATTTACTCATTTATAGAAAAAATGCACTATTGTGCTCGCCATGTCCGTCTGTCCGTCCGTCTGTCCGTGACCTCAAGTTTTCGTCGACGAGAAAATGCGCTCTCTGTCACTCACTGCGGTGAGTACCGAGTTATATTTTTTTCTAGTTTCCTTCAACGATTTAATAAAATATTTATTAGGTACTCTGAAGCATCTAGATGCCTTTTACGTCTATTCATATGTTGCGCCGAAAAATCATACTATCGCTAAATTAGAATATTTTATTGAATACCTTATATCAACGTGATCAAAATTGATAATAGATTGCCTGTAGAATCGCCCTTCGCTTTTAGAGGTGAGGCAGTAAATAAGTCATTTTTATCAAATTAATTGAAATGTCATGAAAATGCGAACACGGTTTAATTACGCTCGAAGCTTTATTTCTATTTTACTGAACAACATGCATAAGGTCTACCGTATATTTTACTGTATGAAAATTACTCGTAATTGGTCGACCTTAAATTCATTGTTCCATATCTGACATTCTCATCTCGGTTCAAAGTGAAGAAACGTAAGAATCTCGAACATGACTGTGTTCCTATGTTTCTGTAGTATCATTTGGTGTAACTCAGCTGAAATGTGATCACCGCTTTTAGGGAACACGATCATTTTTTCATCCTTATTATAAAATTCAGACATTATTCCAAAAATATATTGATGAAATGTTGATAGCTGCTCTGTTGCCAGCTACGCTTAAGCCTGTGCTAGTTTAATTATTCAGCTGCAGCTCGATGTTTCTTTGTTTTCAAGATTAAAAAGAAGAGGTAAATCTCCTCCCCTGTTTAGTTTCTCATCGCTTTCAATAGTTCTCGATCATTAACTTTTATCTATAATATAACTGCAATTATAACCTTTTCGCGTATTTTTTTGAGTTGAAGCCCTTCTAAGTGTACTTTTCAAAATATCATTTACATATTCAGTATAACGTTCAGTAAGCTTCATTTCATCGGCAGAATTTTCCTTCCACTCACCATCTTCTTACGTCGTATTTCCTTCGGTTTTCCTGACTTAAACTCTGAATCCGAGATTTGTGGTTTGCATGATCTTTGTTTCTTGAAAATATCATTATGTTTATTGATTGCAGATATGCATGCACACTTCCTCACCATCCGATGCAGAAATTTGATGTATCATGCTCTACAATCTACAAGATGTGCAAGATGTGTAGAACAATCAATTAGGTCGTTTTTTTTTCAGATAGACTTTTTTTATTGAGATTTTTCTCATTAGACCATGACAATTCTTGAAATTCGATCAAGCGCGTCGAAGAAGTTCGAGTTTTTGTGTACAATTTCAAATATGAAAGTCGAAAACACCAAAATGTACATTTGGAATGGAATCTATTGGCAATTTGAAGAGGTTTCGTGGCTGCCAGTGATGCAGCCGTAACTTCACGCTTCAAGATACGCCAGCACATTGGTCTCGGGATTAGCCATTTAGTCTCGTGCTATGAAGATAAGGGCTTCATTATGTCAGACAGATCGCGCGAGGATTTGAATAGGGCGGCACTGTCATCTTGAAGCAACTGATGGCCTCGAAGAGGCGTCCTCGCAACACTTCCCTGGGGCACTATTAAGCTGAATAATTATGACTTGTAGTCCGAATTGTTCTTCCAGGCTTGCCTGGAACATTGGGCGGCGAATACTGGAACATCTCCGATGAAAGATATTCCTGCATGTGAAGGTGTTTAGGGTCGTTTTGGAGGCAGGGTGCTGCACTCGGAAAATGTGGTCGTTTAGAAATATTTTATATTATTTTAACAAGATGTAAAAATTTTTCTTAACTTGGGATTTAACCAAATTCTTCCGGAAAATCATACATTGAAAAGTGGAAGGGCGAGCGATTAAAATTTTTCCTTAACTCGGTTCAGCAAAATGTAATTCTTACTACTGGTAAACTATCAATCAAGCCGTCAAAACCTATTTTTGACGGCCTATTGTTTATTTTGCAAAACCTAATTGTCATTCAGCTCTTACCAAAATTCGCCTATTCGTGGAATGTATTGCATGCGCGTAATTTTCAATTTAATTTCATGCGCTTAATTTATTTGCAGTTGCCGGCATTACGTGCGCGATTTGTCCGCGCCTCTTATAATTGTGAACGTTATCTATAAGAAGACCATCTCGAGCATTATCTGACCGACCAACTCTCATTTTCGCCATCTGCTAATGAACTTCTAATCTTCGAAGTACGCACGGCCCCGGTAAATTTTTGGACTTTCGGTCCACGAAACTAATCAAGGATTCGATTAAACTTGTCTATGCGTCGAAGTTCTTAATTTAGCAAGTTCTTAGTTGTCAGTTAATACAATGAAAGGCTTGTAGCTGCGGCTTTTGTGTGGCCTTGACAGTCCGGTATGCCGCGACTGCAATGTCTCCAATTTGCTCCGGACGTCATTTTTGGTGAGGGCAACGGCAACTTCGCTACGAAAGTTCCTTCGTAATTACGATAAAGTGCAATTGGGGAGCCCTAGTGGTAGATACGGGCTATACAGCAGACTTTTTTTACAAATTCCTTCCATCCTTGTTATTTTGAAATGGCTGAAACGAGCTTTGCAAACTCAACTTACGCATGTACGGACTTGCAACATGATTGTTTGGAATTGTTCTCTTGACGTTGCTTCCTGCGTGTGTGCCTCTTTCTAAGTCGTACGCGAGGTCGTTTGAGTCTTCATAGTATCGTCTTTTTTCACAGAGGTGCGTTAAATATTGCAGATATCTGCACATTTTTCTTTTTTTTTTCAATAATTTTTGAAGTTAACGAGTAAATTTATTTTTTGTCTTGTCATTACATTAATATTTGGGTTCAGAGATGTTTCAGTTTGCTGATCTGGTGTTTTGTCTTTATTTCAGAGTCTTCCGACGAAATGGCTTCTCTGCGTGAAGCAACAAGGGAGCCTTCCACGAATCAACGAAACGTTCGAAACGCCCGAGATTTACAATCCAACGCTTCCATAGACAGTGATTCTGCTCCTGGAGTTCATGTTGAGACTTCACGTCGAAGGAATACAAAGAGTCATCATCCTTTTAAACAGGTCGCTGCTCATCCAAATAAAGCTGATTGGAGCCGAATCAAAAATCCACCCAGCGACGATCATGATCAGGCCATCAATTTTGACGAGCTTTTGTACTCAACGAAGAATGAAGATCGTACTTCTGATGTTCATCTTAATGAGGGCCGGGCAGAAAAAATCGCCGGTGCACGGGCGTCGTCTTCTGTAGATGCAATTGGAAAGCGTGGCTCGTTCAGTAAGCGCACGTTTGGTGATTCATCACAACGGATCTGGAAGCCCATGCTAGGAGACCCGAACGCCGCTCCTATTTTGTCTGAAAGTCAGCAGGACACGGCGAGTCCTCTGAGCCGCCTGCCCAAATATGATCTAGCTGAGGTAGGAAACAGGTCGTTGCTGTTGACCCCCATGGGTAATGCACCTCATCATCGTCTCTCACTAATCCATTTGAACGCACCTTCATACTCACCGGCTTTGGATCTAAAAAAAGTTGCACAGTCCCTTAAGGATCGTAAGAAAGTCGGCACGAAAAACGCCGTTCGCGAAAGCGTAGGTTCGGAATTTAGCGACCATGGTCATCTTGCAACCGAGCTAAGGGTCAGCCGAACCTCCTCTGAGGAAAAGGTTCCTTCCAATCGAGAAAACTTGGTACGAAACTCTGACCTAAAGCTCTCAAATAGCAAAAAATCTGGTATCGATATTCGCCATTCAACTTGGTCTAAAATTGGTTATTCGAATCAAAACAGCCGTCTGATGGAGCATGATGACTTTTCGAGAAATGTGCCATCTATACTCGATATTCACGTTCAGAACGAAGAAGATCGTGGAGCTGCCGCGTTAAGACTAGAGGAACAAAGTAAAGTCTTAGAGTCGAAGCCCGTCTTGCAATCTCGCTTCTCATCAGCCGAGCAGCAATCTGATTCTGGCTTGGCGGAACCTAAGCTCATGGGGCCCGACCGCCGATCTCGATCCGCCCCCATCGCAGAGAATCCTGTCCTCTCCTTGCGCTCGCCCCAATACCTGCGGCAAGTTGCCGACTTCGGTGAGTAATTTGGATTTTTACGTTTGTTTTGTCATTTTTAGTTCTTTTTTTCAACTTTTCTAAATTCATCACTTTCATTTAGACGCATTTTGATCCGAGTCGTGCACGATCTGGCTTCCACAATTTCCCTCGTAAAATTTTATTGGTGGGTTTTTAGTTAGATTTGATTGGTGTGCGAGTACTTTTTTTGTCGATTCTTCATTCTCTTGTTCCGTTTTTATTACATTTTTTCCTCGGTGAAATTCACTCTTCAAAAATACATACACAATATCTTCGCATGCTATCGTTTAATCATAATCATATCGACAACACTTCGATTCCTTGTAAATTCATTCAGATTTTTTTCTTCTATGTTTTGATAGATCGTAAAATGCTCACGATTTTTCGTTTTTATTGATTCACCTCAGAAGTTCACACCCTTGTTATTCATATACTCATCATGTTCATATAGTTACTCATCATGTCATCAGCTATACCACGAGGTATCTTTTCCATCGTAGATTGTAATGATGTATGATTTGTTAGCAAGCAATTTCCGTTCTAACCTACAAAATGCGTCTAGCTGTATCGTCTACATTTGATGCTTTGAATTTGTACGCATTAATTCCTCCCGAAAATTTAAAACTATTTGGTGGTAAAAAGTTTGGTAATGAAATACGTTCCTATGCATTTATTTTATTCGACTGGCTGCAAAAGTGCTTTCACCTGCACGGTCGCGATGCACGTTCCTCTCCGGGATCGCCTCCGCTTGCTGGGCTCCATTTAATTTTGAGCGATAGCGGCGCTATCACCAGCGCATCTAAATGAACCGTTGCATCTGCCGTCACAAGTTTTGCACCTCCCCCTCGCCCCGACTTCTGCTATTGACTGCAAATGCCTGGCAAAAAAACCTACTGCTATGCTCGCTTTGATTGTCCCTTGCATTGAGCTCAACTTAATGAGCTTAATGGCTTGTTATTCTACTTATCGGAAAGTTCAATGAATTGAGCTCGGCTCTAACGCGCGATTGAATGCCACTCTAAAATAAAATCTGTTTCGATGAGAAGTGAAAAATATGCTGTGTTTTTATAGCCACCAGATTAATGAATGAAGCCTTCATTTAAAGTATTGTTATACATTAGGGTCACAAGAAATAGACCCTACATGATGAGCAAGCTCAATGGTCCTGAAAGTCGAACAGTGAGAAGTTTGAATTCGTTAAGATGAATTATTATCATATCCAATACGAACTACGTCTTTCTGGCCCAATACAGTGATTATTGTATGTCCCTTTGTGATAATAACTAAAAATATACGTAAAAACGTGAAGTATTCAATCTATTGGTTTGTATATTTGCAATTATCATTAATATACTCCAATGGGAAACTAAAGTGCGTGGCGCACAACAGCTCATAGACAGCGCGCTAGCCAGCCTGCATGCTCGGTGTAGGACTCTTGACCTCGAGGTTCCATTGAGATGTTCCTCAGTTGGGTGTGGTTCACCGACACACTTTCGCCGGATCATCCGTTGGATCATGCATGGGTGTGGTCCGTCCTATTCGTCAACTCTCTTTTCGTCCACTGACTTACCCAGCCTACGTGCTAACATTCTACTTATTTTTGTCGAGACACTCGGCCAGCTCTTACATTCAAGCTTTTGTTGTACTTTCTAGCAAATGAACTATGTTTTCAAAGATCGGATGCATATCTAACATTCAAGCTTTTTTTTTTACTTTCTAGCACATAAACGATGTTTTCAAAGATCGGATATATTTGTCAAGTTTTATGTGACGCTATTCTGGAAACAATTTAAAGTCAGATGAAAATGAAGTGTGAATTCTACTATCGTATACTACGGTATACTACGTCGCGCAGTTTTTTGCAAAAGGCCGTTATTGCAGGGCTTCAGATTATAGTCGCTTTATCTTTTCCACTTTTGAAACGGCATTTTAATGTCAGTGCAAATTCCAATTTTAATTTTGTGCCAAGTTTATTCATTTTTGCATTGTGAAATTTTTTAGAATTGAAAGTTACATGTACTTCTGTGTGGTGCAAGCAAATAATTTTCGAGTTAATCAAGCCTTACAACTCAATTATTTCTCGATTAATTTAGAAAGTTGCCACTTAATCCCATTTATAATTGTATTTTTTCTCAATTCAAAATTATGATTGCGTGTATTTTCAACATTTACGTTCGAGCCTTCATCAACAGCTGTATGATGGCTTTCTCACGCTCCTGATATCGGGCATACCCGTCTGTTTTACAGAGATTTTTTTGCAGTTCCAGCACGCTATAATCAGGCCATGGTGGCTTCAATTTGCAGCGCCATTTATAGATAACTGCTCATCACAGGCTTGCTGGTAATGAGAACGACTTTTCCTTCCTTGGATTCGCGATGCGTCAAGAAGTCTCCGTCCAAATTGAAGATCCTTGATTTGCAATGATGATGAATGCTGACATCAGCGATGATTGCGTTACCTCTCCTGGAGTGCCCCGCACCAAAGATATATGATGCGGAGAATTCTATTGGCCGATATTGTTTTCAGGCTTACGACGCTCATGAAATTTTGAAATACCCCGTTCGTGAATATTCGGGCAATGTCGCGCTTAGGGACGAAAACGTTCTCGTGTAAATCTGAAAGTTTTCGACTTTTTCTTAATCGAATTCTTACATGCTTGATAGAATCATGTTCCATAAGTATACTTATTCGTAATCCAACTCAATCGGTGGTCGATCATAACATTTCACGTCCGTATAATATTCCCATTATGACAAAATTTTGCCAAAAAAATGTCAGAATTTTTCGTTGAAAATAGCGCTTTCTTTTTTATCTCAGAGGAGAGTTCCTCATGACACATAAATGCTGAGTAATCTTTGATCTCGATTTGATGCTCTGGTTTTTTCTAATTGAACGATTTAAATTTGGTAACATTTTTCATTCGAAGTGGTTTATATCGCACGATTAAATCTCGATGTAAAATTCCGTAATTTGCGTGCGCCCCGTTTAGACTCGGTAAATTAATGTTTTTTCCTTCGAATTTTACTTTTATATATGTGTTGTTTTAAGTAACTGCGTCTCACGTAAGTGTATGCCTCGACATAAATTAGCGGCCTTTTTATTTTATGTATGGATCCGCTAAAACTAAAACGAACACTTGAATAACTCCTCTATAATTTTTTGGCGCAATTCTAATCTTTCATCTTTTTCCTTCCTATGAACTTGAAGATGGTAGGTTTCATATTTTCTCATTGACTCAAAATACGTCTTTCACTGATACAATCATAATCAATGTTATAGTGTTCGTCTTATCAGTTCATGTACACTTTACGGTGGAATGAGGCGTTTCTCATTCTGAAGTATCTACATATATAAGAATTCGATCGCAGTCATCCCCATAAGGGAAATGCTGCAGCCCATTCGATCGCAGCAATACTCGCTCATGATTTACGTAAAATTTTCAGTCAAGTTCTGGTATTGCTTGGATGCCCTTTGATTCAAACGGTTCCGAATCCCCATTTCAGCTTAACATTATCCGACAATGGATTTCGAGTTGTTGAGTAGAAATTACTGGTAATTTCAAAACCTTGAGAGGTCTGGTGTTATGTTGCAGCTCGTTTCCTTGCATTGCGTCGTTGGATGTTAGCTGAAAACGAACTGGTATTAAATTGTTTTTTGCTTTAATCGTTGACCGTAGAAAAGGCTAGTACCTTTTCTTGACCCAACTCGTGCCTTTGTTTTTTTAGGGTACCTGACCGTAATTTTAACATAATATGTATCGTACAGGATTGATTGAACGTTCCAAAGCCCTCGCAACATTGGTTAGTAATAAATTATCATGTTATTGTTACGCCTGCTTTGCCGATCAGGTAGGAACGAGAAGCCAAATATTGCTCAGGTACGAACGAGAAGCCAAATATTAGCTGTACATTCAGCAGTACTTCCACGCCATAAGTGGTAAAGTACTGCTGAAGTTTTAAAAAAATATTTAAAAATTTAATAAGTTTGAAAAATATATTTACCGCCATAAGTGTACAGTACTCGTTTATAATTATTCTGCTATTTTTTAGAAATCGATGAGCTGTGCTCTGTCGAATTAACTTTCAAGCCTGAAACTTGGACAGTAACTTCGCATAATGGAGTTACGCTTGACAAATAATGTCGAGACGCTAACTTTTGAGGGCGTATATCTTACTTTTCGGATATCATTGTAGGCAATTATGCTTGCTATATTGATTTTGCGCATTTTCGTTCGGCATGCTTGGTTTTAGCGAAGTATAAGTAAGATTGCATAAATTTTCATGTATGTTATTTTTTTTTGCCCGGAAGCTGGTTTCGCTAGCTTTGCACCACATCATGCAGTTTTTCATTTTTATTTTAATCAGTTTGATAGCCCCCCAAGTATTCAGATGTATAACTCATTCACTATCTATATCACCGTATTATTAACATTGAACAAATTGTTCAATGTTCAATGTTCGTATTATACAAATTGAAGCTACTCTTTTTCTTGCCCGAATTTTTCATTTAATTGTGCGTTTTTAGCGCATTTTCTCATTTTTGAAAAAAAGGCGCTATTGTACTCGTCATGTCCGTCCGTCCGTCCGTCTGTCTGTCTGTCCGTGACTTCACAAACGGACGGACGAGAAAATGCGCTATCTGTCACTCACTGCAGTGAGTACCGAGTTGTATATATATTTTTTTTTTTGTTAGGCTTCTCTGATGCTATTCCGGGTATTGTGTTCGCAGCCATCGAAACGAAGTCTTGGAATCCTTACGAAGTGTGTTGAATTGCTGAGCTAAATCTGAATGAGAATGCAAAGCATTCAAAAAAGTTGAGAACCACTTTTTTTGATTACGTTTATTTAATAATTACTGTTTTCCTGTGAGATTGAACCTAAGTTTTTTCATCTCACTCCTAGTGGTATTATTGTCAAAACCAGTTGTGTCATCACGAAGTTTTTAATAACACATTTCTCTTCAATCTTTTTGAAGTGCACTAAGCTTGGTTTCGTTCCGA